CAGGTAATGGACTGTTTATTTTACAAGAAGTAGCTGGATGCTTTGCCTTGTGTAGCTTGGCAAAGACAGACAACGAGAGGGGATACGATCACTATCTACAAATACATCAAAGGAATAAAGGCTGAGGAGGGAGGGGAGCTGCTCAAGAACAATACTGGCATGAGAGTTTAAGAGTATAAACTGGCCATAAATAAAATATGGAGCAGAAATTATAAAGTTTATCTTAAGAAATACTTTCCAATTAGAACAGTGGGGGCAAAACCTTTAAACTGCCTTCATCTGCTTTTATAACCCCGTCAGCCTGGCACCCACCACTGTCCTTGCACAGCAAGGAACACAAAAATAGGAAGGCAGACTGAGAAACAAGCAACTCCGAGATAAGCTGGCTAATTATTTCTTCATGGAAGATACCACGTTGCCGGGCAGACAATAGCAAGACAACATTTGCTTACTCCACAGCAAAAGCAGAATTAGGACCACAGTAAGAGGGCATCTACGTGCTCAGAGAGGATGCGACTTCCAGCTTAATGCGGCCTCCTCTCTCCATCACCCCGGAGCTGTCGGGATAACAGCCTAAGGGCTTGCGCGTGCCCTTCCACGCGGCCACATCTACTCGCCCAGGCGGAAAATCCCAAGAAGTTTGGGACGCGGGAGTCGGGGGGGGACAGAGGAGGTTATTCCGCGGATGTTATTCCGCACTTGGCCACTGGATGTCGCCAGTGACCGTCACCCGGAGCGGCTCAGTCGCGATTCGCATCACAGCACTTTTCTTGTTACATCTTTATATTCCTCCACTGCGATTACTCGGTTACGACCAGCTAATTGTCTCCTTAACAGAGCGGTATCCAAGGAAACAAACAAACAAACAAAAAAAATCAATCTGGAGTGCGAGGCAGAGGATAAACACACAGCCTGGAGTACTGCAAAGCATGTTGTTAAGGTACCAGTATTTTTCTCATCATTTTAAGAGCCTCAGTTCCTCAAATGAGACCATTAATCAAAAAAATCACAGCCTTCGCTTAGAACTGTCTAGCACCAAAAAATTAAGAAGGAAAAAACCCAGCCAAATTAAACTACACCACAACCTTTCTTTCTGATCTTTCAGAGGTTAAAAATATACACACGTTCTGTTTGGAAGTCTCATTTTGTGACTTCAATTCAGAGCTTTTCATCTTTCAGACTTCATGATAATGCAAGATGAGACTCATATTTCCATGCATTGCACACATAAACCTACAGGGAACGACTGACTTGTGTTTGTATTTGCTCTTTTAGCATCCAGCAAGTCCAAAAAAATCGAGTCCAAAAAACTCAACACTAAATTTTCCCAGGGAGGAGGGGTGAACAAACCAAACCCAACAACTAAAAACCCCTTCCCCTTCTCAATCTCATATCTGGCTGCTATAAACATTCCCAAAGCAGGAACATTCAATACACATACATGGTAATCGTTACCAAAGACACGAAACCAAAGACATGAAACCTTAAATCTGCTTTTTCTCCCTTTCAAAACTGAGTCATGTACTTCCTTAGATATTCTGACAGACATTGAATAAACTAAAATTAACTCCTTTTACAACAAAGAACTCTTTCATAAACCATATAAAATCTCGAGTAAGTCAGGATTGCTAGTAAAAGACCTGTTTCTAAACAAGAATTTTTGCTTTCACAACTATCTCCTCGTCCCTTCTGATTGCACAAAGAAGTAATCCCACTTAATTCCAGCTTTCTCAGTCATTCCCATGACAACAAAGATACACAAATTATTATCATGAAAAGATTCTCAAATTATGGAAGAGTGAGCAATATATGAAGCTTCCTATTCCAGGTACTGCCAGCATATAACGCCTTCTAGCAAGCAGTTTGCCAATTTTAGTTAAATGCTTGGTTGTCTTTTCACCAATTTCACTGCTCAGCAATTGTACAGCACTTTGGCATCTTATTTTTAACAAGACTTGAAATAACAGGCGGGGGGAAAAAAGAAATACCTCTGTAGTTATGGCTGGATGCAGAGAGAGGTGCAAGTCAGAAGTTGCTTATCAGCTAAAAATACAAAAGAAAAAGAGTAAAATTCCACTGAAGAAAAAAGAAAGAAATTGCAAGAAAGATTATTAACAAGACAGAAAAACAATCATTGTACTTTAAAGCTAATTTTGGTTTTCAATCAGTTAGTTTAATAACTAAGCATAAGAACTATGAGTGTTTTAACGCACTTGTTTTTTCACAGATAAAATTCAGTTGCTTTATTAAACAAAGGATTTCTGGAACCCTTTAGTTTTGATCATTCATTAAGCTTTCATTTAGCTGGAAAACTAGAGAATTAAAGAAAAATAGCAAGTGCCCTTATAAGGCCACAGTGCAGTCATCTAAAACAAGTCTCAAAGAGCAAAACAATAGGGTTTAATAGGGTTTAGATTTTAAAACACTTTCATTCCTCCATCTGCTGCAAATTTAGTCTGAAACTAAACATTAAGGTCACCTCAAAACATTTTTCAACAATACAAAAAGTGTGATAAAAACTAGTAATGAAAACCTGATAATACTGATGATCTGCAAGAAGTGCCTTCAGATAAAGGTGAAAAGGGGAGATAAATTTATGTCTGTAAAGGGTATAAATAACAGTACAGATGGTTTATGTTGCAAAGGAGATCTGCCTTTATGATGTAATAGTCCTTTAGGACTTTAATACCTGACATAAGAAACAGAATAAAAACATAGGAGACTGAAGAGTTCGTAGGAAAATATGAACTTGTTAAAATTAACAGCTGCACAATATTTGCTTCCTGACACTACTTGCAAAATATTTTGATTTTTGAAAAGACTCGAATATCCTGTAAGACAAAGAAACAGTACAGAAAACACATTCTATGCTGGGACCTTCAGAGCAGCCTAATGGAATTACTCAGTATTTCTCCTGCAACTTCAGCACGATTTTCTCAGAGCTATAGACTGGCTTAATTTCTTCTTCCATTTCTTCTTCTTCTTCTCCATCTCCTGCTTTGTTCCCATTGAAATATTTTGTTAAAACTTGCATCAAAATATCAGCTAAGGCAAAAATACATCATAGAAACAATTAATCCTAACTACTTCAATTTAATTTGAGGGCAACGTTTTGGCATCAGACATCCTTTGCTCACAGTCTAAAGCTTCATCTACCAAAGAAACCATCTTCTTTATGCTATTTCCCAGTCCCTCTGCCTCCCATTTACTTTGGAAGCAAATAAATACTCCCTAGTCAGTCATGTCCACAAGTTACCTCCACATATATTTAACTAACCAGCCCTGAATTAAATGCAGGAGGAAATAAGAGAAGAAAATGCACCAGTAACAATTCATGTAACCCTTGGATTAAAGGAAAAGAGACAGTACAGGAACATAAGAAGAGGAAGAGCTGAGGGAGAAGTGGGTAGTGGGTCAGGCTGAAGTCTGAGGAGGTCAAAGGTATGTTTGAAGCTGAACTTCCTAATCCCACATCACTACAGGCAACACACTCTTTTCCTGCCTTTCTTATGTCCTCCACTGTCCATCCTGCACCTAAACTGCTTTCAAGTCCCAAAGCACAGTCATCTCCAAAACCTGGCCTTGCCAAGTCTCCAATTCACAAGTCTCAACACTCTTTTTTGATGTCTAGTGAGAAGCTGAGCCACACAGAAAATGTCTTTTCACTCACCCAATAAAACCAAGTCTTAGATGTCGGCACAGGCAACTTGATATCAACACAGCTGGTCAGCATGGTAGAGCTGATCTCCCTCTGCTTTGCTTTCCCCCCATCCCCCATTAAAGCTCAAAATCCCATTATTTGTACAGTTCCAGTAAAAGCACAACAAAGCTGCAGAACCCAGCCAGGAAGTGGTGCCAGCACATAAAAACCACCTGGTTTTACACAAGGCCTCCCACACAGTCAGGTACAGAACAGATCCTTGGGCTGCTCAGCAAAGGGCTCTTGTCCTCAGGCCTGATGCAGTGAAAGAAAAGCCATTTTAAGGAAAACAGAAAAAAAAAAAGGCTGGCCTAATTGAGGCCTTCCAGTGCCTGAGGAGGCCTTCAAAAAACATGGAGAAGAACTGGAGTGACAGGACAAGGGTGAATGGCTTCAAACTGGCAGAGGGCAGTAGTTTCTCTAACTACTTTTTTTATTCAAAAATTTCTTTTCGCTGTTTTCCAAAGGGAATAAAACAACCAAACAAAAACCCCAACCAAACAAAAAACCCAAATCAAAACTTTAATTTCTTCTTCTGACCTTTTCCAGATCTGTTAGTTCTTTTTTTTTTACACTGTTACTCTTATTAATAAAGATCCCCACCTTCACCAAACCCAGGTGAGGTCAGCTGGTACTTACCTGCATAACTTCCGCATACATGTATTTTATTGAATCACAGAATCATTAAGGTTGGAAAAGACCTTTATGGTCATCGAATCCAACTATTAACCCAGCACTGCCAAGCCCACCACATCTACATGGTTTTTGAACACGTCCAGGGATGGTGACTCCACCACCTCTCTGGGCAGCCTGTTCCAATGCCTGAGCATCCTCTTAGTGAACAAATTTTCCCTGATATCTGATCCAAAACTCCCCTGAGGCCATTTCCTCTCATCCTGTCACTTGTTACCTGGGAGAAGAGCCCCACCTGGCTACACCCTCCTGTCAGAGAGTTGTAGAGATCGATAAGGTTCCCCCTGAGGCTCCTCTTCTCCAGGCTAAACTTCCCCAGCTCCCTCAGCTGCTCCTCATCAGACTGATTAGCCAATACAGTCCTAAATTTAACCCTGACAGCCGCTAATTGCCCTGTCACTCTTATCTGCCGTGCCCGTGAAATTAGCAATACGCTGACCCAGTTCTCACGCCAGAAATCAATCCCAGCCCACTCCGTCCCAGGCACAGCATCAAAGCTGCAGAAAAAGGGTGACCGAGCCAGTGCCCGCCCTCCATCCCCTGCCCGGAGTGCCCTTGTTTTGGGAGCAAAGCTCCCAGGCTTCGCTGAGTAACGGGATAAACTCACGGAGCAAGTCGAGTGTTGGGATTCACATCTCACCAGCGACACGGCACAGCCTGTCAGCAAAGCCAGAGACGCTCCAGCTCAGCCTGACGGGGAAGGAAAAGGCAGCGCTGAGGGCTGGCAGCTCACCCAGAGATGCCCAGACACGATGTCCTTATCCCGGTGTCCCCAGTGTTCCTTACCCGGGGTCCTTCCCACAGCAGCCCACCAGGGGATCCTTGTCCCGGGATCCTCGTCCAGCCCCCTCAATGATCCTTAAGCGGGGTCCCTGTCCCGGTGTCCCCAGTGTTCCTTACCTGAGGGATCCCTATCCCGGTCTCTCCAGGGGGTCCCTGGCCCGGTGTCCCCATTGTTTCTTACCCGGGACCCTATCCCCGTCTCTCCAGGGGGTCCCTGTCCCGGTGTCCCCAGTGCTCCTTACCAGGATCCCTATCCCCGTCTCTCCAGGGGGTCCCTGTCCCTCTCCCCCAGAGCCGCTCCAGCCGCCGCCGCGTGCGCGCCCTGCAAGCCCCGCCCCCCAGACCCTCCCCGCCGCCCTATTGGCTGCTCCGGCCGCCATCTTCCCTCCCTGGTGACGCAAAGAAAGACGATTGGTGCAGACGGAGAAGGGGCGTGTCTGGACGTCATTCGCCGCGTCCTGATTGGCTTCCTCGGGGAAGCCCCGCCCCGTGGCCGCCGTGCCTCACGGCGGGGTGGAGCAGCCGCCGCCATTTGCGGCACCCGGCGGTGACGGCGCCGGGCGTCAGAGATGGGGGTGTCACCGCCCGGGGGTGTCACCGTCCGGGGTGACAAGGCAGGGAGGGACCTTCATGGCCTCATGGCCCGAGTCCTGCGTGCGCTCGGACCTGCCCCTGGTTCGATGGCACCGAGCGAGCCTCGCAAAGAGAACGATGTCACGTTGAGCGGAGCGGGGTTAAGTCACTCAAAGGACAGCGAGGAAACGGGGAGTTTGCTCCAGGGCACATGGGATCGGATGTGGTCAGCAGGATTAGGGGCTGAATTTCCCTTTACAAGTTACTAGCAGGAGCTGACGCTGTCGGTGGTACCTGTGGAGAAGCAGGTCCAAGGGCTGTGCAGGGGTGTCACATGGAGCTGCATCCTCCAGGAAAGCAGGAACACAGAGGGATTATTTCCTTTCGGGGTCCAGACAAGGGAAGGTTAATTAGGTTTCCTTTTCCTTCAGCTTGCTGTTATATTTTCCCAGACCCTTATTTTTCCAATTAAAGTTCCAAACAGTATTTTTCTCCCCTTTTTTTTTTTTACTTGCCATTTAATAGGCTGACACATCCAGGCTATTAGAAGAACAGCATAATTAACGTTTGCTTCTTATAACGTTTTACTTAATACTGCCCCAAGTTTTATAATTCAGAATTCTTTGTTCTGCTCTGAATTTACTGTTCAGCACCGTCAAATACTGCATTAGCCCATAATCTCGGATGTTATTCAGTGACAAAAATAATGTGTATCTTTATTTTTGGACTGGTTAAAATCGCATTTGTGGTCTTTTCTGATAAACGCTGTAAGTTGTGATAAATAACACTATCGATATTGATTAAAATATTTCTTGAAATTACTTAACATTTCCACTGGCATTTTTTTAAATTAAAATCTAAACATTTGAAGTGAGTATGTTTTTCTAGCAGGATAAAAAAGAGCTTTATCTAAACCCAGGGATGTGGTCAAGTCACATGGACAACAACCACAGAGCAGTGTAAAAACCACAACTTGCACCTCAGTTTAATGGCCACCCTAAAGCAGAAAGTCAGTCAAAAGATACTTCAAAGTACTGACAATCTCAGTTGCCTGCCACTACTATTGTGCAAAATTTTAATTAATTCTACATGCTCCAGCATATCTACTGTTATTTTTATTACTTCAATTTACGTAGGTACATAAATAATGTATGTAGTTATGTTCCTGCCAGCACAATCATCTTTCTGCACGTGGAGATTACCCTTCCCTGTGATCACTCTGCAATACTGTGAGAGAGACAACCTGTATCTCACAGTTGCATTGATAATTTATCTTGTTTCAGCTTAAAGTCTCCCCTCTAAATAGTTTATTAGAACCAGATATTTGTATTTGTGGGGAGTCACAGGTGCACAGGTCACTGAACCCTTTAGCCAAGCAGGTATCACCCAGGACAGACCAATTCACCAACTGCCATCAAAAAGTGCCCTTTTTTTGTTTATTTTGGCTTCTTAACAATTACTGGGGAGCCATTTTTTTCCTGCATGGTGCACTGAACATAAAAAAATATCTATGCACATAACATCAGAGCATAAATCCCCAAATCACACACTTGGTGTTTTCACAGTAAATACCTTCCCTCGCTGTGAAGTCTGATCCCACTGGAGCTGTCACCCAGCACTAATCTCTGCTCACACCAGTGACAATCATTATGAAGATTTCCAAACAGGAGGCACGTGATTTCATTGAAGACACAATATGCACTATAACACCGTATTGCAAATGCCAATATTACAATAATAACTTCAGTTATTAGTTTTTCATCTGAGTTCCCCGGGGCTGTTAGTGTTGCCACAAATTCATCAAATACCTTCTGTTCATTGTTCACATGGTAAAAATAGCTGCAAGATCCACTGGAACAACACAGTTGTACAGCCACAGATTTGGTGTCCAGCACTCCCAGACCAACCCAGCTGTATTAACAGGAAGTACCTTTTTTTTTTTTTGGTAGCACATCAACACTGCTGAGTCACAGTGTATTGCTGTGAAGTTCACCACAGTAAGTGCACAGCAGGTGCTCTGGAGATCACTTGTAAATCTTGACAGTTACTTCACAGACATAAAAAGGCATTTTGACAAAGGAATCTTTAAGAGCCTCACCTTAAAAGAAAGAGAAGTAGCCTAAACAAATCCGAGTGTCAGTGTCACATCCTCTAGGACTGAGGTCAAAAAACAGCAGGTTGCCTGGAATGAGAATTTTTTGTTGTGTGTTTGCATAATAATACAACATAATTTGTGACACAACTGTCCCTGGGTATAGCCAGCAACTTCTGCATGCTGTCACGATGCACCACAAATATTTTCTGCGTCTTGTTTTCCTTCAATGTTTTTTTTTTTGCTTGGGTTGCACTGTGTGAGGGACAGGTCAGTGAGAAGAGTTTCTTCTCCCCCCTGCACTCCCAGCAAAGTTAAAAAAGGGAGGGGGGATGGAAGAGCCATTATTTTAGAGTCATGTACTACACAAAGCAAAGAAATAAATTAAGGTACCTAGATGTAGTTGAAATTCCTTTTTGTAAGATGCCCCTTCATAAATAATGTTCATAGGGCTTGATAATTCTCAGTGATGCTCGTTACAGTTTTAACTGGAACTATTCAGTTAAAGACAATCAAATCAAGCAGTTGTACCCTAATTACTTGGCTCCCTGTCTTGTGTGTCAAGGCCAGTTTTGTGGCAGTATATTTTGGCCACCTATACCAACTTTTACAGTGTAACAATATGTAATTAGCCCGTATGTGCATGTAGACAAAGTGTTACATACCAGGGATCAATAAACATAATTCCATCAGCAGATTCCTGCTGCTGAAGCAGTAGAAGGTAATGTGCTTTGCTGGAGAAAGGGGTTTATTTTTAATATCTTTATAAGGTATATTGGTTTCACTTTCAATTCTCATCTCTTTGTTGGAGATTTGGGGGACAGAGAGTTGGAAAACCTCTATCAATCATTTTTTTGCATTTCTATCTGCAGACCTTGAAACAAAATGTAGAAATGAGGCAAATTTATTATGACTGATGATTATCAAGTTGCTGGATTTATAGAAGGCACTTTAATGCTTAATTGCCTCTTAGTGCTGAATAAGCATTTAATAAACCAAAATCAAAGGCTCATTTAAATTATATACTCTAATTACATAGTACAGTAAAAAGAAGTTTTGATTGCAAAGTCAAGCTGTTGGGTAAGGGCACCATTTTTTAGAGGTCAGCTCAGAGTTAATTCACAAAACCTAAGCTACCTTCCTGCATCCTGCAGTGGAAGAGCTGTGTCCATCAGCTCTTTGCTGCAGCAGTTCTCAGTTTTAACAATGCTGCTGTTGGTAGCAGTGCTCACAGTTTCTCATGACCTGCACAGGGTGCCAGGTTAAGATTTTATGTTTGATCCTGTTGAAAGCAGAAAACTGGGCCATGCGCTGTGAGCTCTTCCTCAGCCTCCCCAGCTGTTTCCTTCAGCTATTCCTAAAAGGCTGAATGGATGTTCCAGGCATGGTTCAGGTGGGAAAATAGACTGCATACAAGTGTTGTTTTCCTGGTTGTCCTCATTATCTGAATACCCCTGATAGGGCTGTATGTGTTGAGATTTGGGGTTTAATTGGCAATTTTGTTAGTGGCAAGAATTCCCGATTCCTCCCTGAAGCAGAAAGACCAAACTGGACACTACAGCAGGACCCTTCCCTCCACCTCAGGGGTAGCAGAGGGCACCCAAAGAGCACAGTTCACTTAACCATTGCCAGTGGGTTTTGTATTTGTACAGAGGTGAAACAGGAGAGCCGAGCCTGAGCCATTCCCCTTCTTCCTGGCTTTTCCCAAGAACCTCAGCCAACCACCACACGTAAGGTTCCTGAATACAACAGGCGTGTTACAAAGCAGCTCAAATCTGCCACTTGCCAACTTTTGGGGGGCAAGTTCCTAAGACAGTGGGTCCGTCAGTCTCCACACGCCCTGCACTTTTTTGTTGGGAAGGTACCATCTTTAATTTTGCTTTGAGGTCTGGTCTTCTAACCCCAACTAAAACTGGCTGACACCGAGATCAGCTACAGAAAACTGTGCCCCCAAAAGTCCGAGCTCAGGGGAGAGAGAAGTACTGGGCCAACAGACCAGATACATATTTCAGAACTGCTGTTCATACAGTGTTTACATAACTACTGAAGTGGCTTATAAATAGTATATAAACTCTGAAACAGACGTTTATTTGCATTGACAAGAATGAAAACTCAGCAACCAGATGTTTAAAAAAGGTTCCAAGACAGGCCTGTTAACTGAAAAGGGTCAAACCTGACCACAAGCATTTTTAATTTTAATTTCAACTACACGTTAGTGAGGTTAGTCAGCCTGACTAGTTAGTCCAGACACAACACCAATACTGACACACAGCCAATGCATCAGGAAAGAACTGAACTGCTGCTGCAAGGCAAGCACAGTGCACTGCTAATTACCATCAGTATGAAATCAGTCTGAATGCCAGACTTGTTGACTCTGTGCTTTCACCACTGTCTTAAAGATATTGGCAACTTTTCTGCCTTCAAATCTTATTAAAAATGATCAGAGAAAGCGTTATGTCCCATAGACATCAACTCAGAGAAAAATATTCCAGCTCTTAAAGCAGAAAGTGCCAATTTGAGTGAAAGCCTTATTTAATTTATAGTTCCAGCATCTGCAGCCAACCCAGTGGAGTCCACAGCAATGCCCACTGAGCAATCAGGAGCCATCACAGCATGAATAATGCTGTACACAGTAAATCCCCAAAACCAAATGATTGAAGTACCTGCTGCACACAGTGGAGCGTAGCTGACAGCCTCTCTCAATTTTCAGTTTAAAAAAATCTTTTCAAGTTAGTAGAAATCTGGGTCATCATGTTCTGGAATGTAATCATTCTGTACGAGGCAAATATGATTACATCCCTTTGCCTAACAGCATGAGGTAAGCTATTGCAAAGGAACTCTTCATTACAGGCATTATTTTGGTAATCTTCCCAAGGCAGTTGTGGATTTGATTAGCCACCAGGACTGAACTCTCTGCAGCAGGAATTACCACCCACATATGGATACCAGCATACCAGGAGAGATGATCAAACACACGATGGGTTAAATAATTCAGGGGAATTTTTTTATCTCTAACTGAGATGGAAGCAGAATGTGCTTTCTGCTTATGCTTGCTAAAGTACCACGTCAAATCAGCCTTACACACGGAAGGGGAAAAGAACTTTCAGGAAACAAACTTTGAGGTTGGTTTTGGGCTTTGAATCCACCCACAAACTCAAATCTGAGACCACCTGCAATCAAACTAAATTAGAATTAGTACAGGTGATGGACTGTTCTCCAGCTCTCATAACAGATAACCACGAGAAAGTGTTAGTCCCAGAAGGGGAAGGCAGGGTCACAACATCAGAGGCACATCAAAGCAAGCCTACCAGCCACTCATCCAAACCACATCATCTGTAAACCAAGTATTTGCCACACCATCCGGAAAAGTTATTGCACGAGGTCAGAATATGCCACTTGTAGGGAGCCTGAGCGTTCAGTTAAGTCAGTAATAAAAGGTGTAATAAATATCTGACAATTAAAGGAGTGATAAGAAAATCCTTCAGAAAAGAAAAACAAGTTTCTCCACATCCATCT